TAATCAACCGCGGTTCGGCGCGTCAACACTTGTGCCACGGCGGTGATTTCCCCTACGACACCTGCGTTTGACTTCAGAAGCCGATATGTCGTTTTCTCGGGCTCGAGCAAGCAGTCTGCCGCGACAGGGATATGAACCCGGGACCACGAGGGTTGGAGTCCAGTACTTTAACCACTGAGCTATATATATGTGTGTATATATATATATATATATATATATATATATATATATATATATATATATGTATGTATATATATATATATATATATATATATATATATATTACATATATATAAGAAGAAAATAGTGTCTATTTGTAAGGGCAGTGTATATATAAACCATTCTATATTTATCAGGTGATAAGAAAAAAAATATGTACAAAGGTTTCGATTTTCTGTCCATGTTCTACAAGCTTCACTCTTCATCACACCGTTTTAATTAATGCATTACCACTGGCTTGTGACGTCAGATATAAACAAAGATGGCGAAGCCCCGTTGATGGTAAAACTGAATGTACCGGGATTGTTACAGTTACTCGGAACAAGCAAGGATTGATTGATAAGAAAATAAGCCAAGTCAGAACAATCAGCATCCAGCGCCATGGCCAGAGTAACGTAGTGGTCACTGAAACAATTATTTTCATAACTGAGGGGCAGTGAGAGGATAAAAGGATTCAGGGACACTATAAGCTTCCCAGGTAATCCTAGGGATTTCTTGTGGATTTCTTATTTATTCGTCTCCTCAAAAGAACAATCATACTCTGAAAAAGTAGGAGAGATCACTCCATTGTCTACATTTCTGTACACATGCACGAACAATAAAATTGTTGTGTGCGTTTGTGTCTGCCTAGCTTGAGATTATAATCAAAGCCATATTGAAAAGTATGAAATCAGATTCATATAAAACTTTTTCTTTGTTTGTGATTAAAACATCCCGGTTCGCACATACTCCAACAGTAGATATCCAAGAATGTTAAATGATTTTCCTTTGGTTTAAGTTTGCAATGACCAGTGATTTTGTCTGTTTCTATGATATATGTATTATCTTATTCTATCTATGCATAGAGTAGTCACCATTTTGATAAACTGATAAGTAGAAAGGTCGACGGAAAGAGAAAGGAAGAGATGTGTAACAATAGGTTTTATAAATGCATGTCCATGTCTTTTTACGTACATATGTATGTATGTACATGTAGGTGTACGTACATATAAGCTTGTATACATGGATACGCAATATCGATCTATTTTTTTTTAATATCGGTATTGTCGATATTATCGTTACTACAAATAGTAATATTTTCAACAGCAATTGAGGTAACATATGTATTTATTTCTTATTCATAACAGGAAACAGAAAAATAATCTTGGTAAATGAAACTGCATTTTATTTAAGTAGACAAACCTCACATGACATTAGATGAATGAGAACGTAAAATGAGAAAAATATATAGATGATTTATGACAGAGGGAAGGGCGGAAGTGAGCGTTCAGTCGAGGGGCTTCATTTCTCGTAGGTGACCTCAGCGTTGAAGCCGTCGCCGTTGTCGTAGAATTTGACTACCTGCAGGAGATACAGTGAATTTTAATCAATTTGTCTGCTCATTTACACTAATTGTCTTCATACATTTATATCTAGCAAGCCTATTAATTGCATATACTCTTATGCTTCTAGGAAGCAAGAGTAATAAAAAATGACCGACAAGGCTAAGAGAAACTGACCTGAGTTCGTCCGTCGGGAAGAAGGACGCGGTACTCGCCCTGGGTCGTCTGGCCGTCGCTGTTCTCCACGTGGCTGAAGGCGTTGCCGCTGTCGCCGTCCTCGACGCCCCACGTGAAGTCGTACGGCATTCCTTGCATTGGCTGAGAACGGAACACGAGTTGCACCGATAAGTTATTGTGGCAATCATTTTAATGATCCTTTTTTCTATTCTTAAATGAAATCATACATATTAACCATTGCATGCCACAGGTCGTACCGGGCTGACAACTGCAGGGACGAGGTTCTGAGGTTCGGCATCCAGGGGCGTCTCGTAGAGGGAAGAGGGCGCCTGAGGGGGCTCGTAGTTGTACTGAGGCGCCGCCACAATCAGACCCACCATCGCCGCTAGGACAACAATCTGGAAATAACATTGGATTCCGATTTATTCACTGCCGAGAGAAAACTCGTAGGTTTTAATTTTATGCAGTAATTCACTTCCAATGTACGTATATAGTATACATATATTTTTTGATAAAGAGTCAAATTCATAAATTGATCATATTTCATTCGTGAAAAGGAACAGACAATTTTCTGGTAAATAAGTAAATAAGTAAATTGTCGTAATATGTCCAAGTGACGCACCTTGGCTGCCATGTTGTTAACAAGAGGAATGCGATCACACTGATGTCTTCTCGGAGAGAGGAACGCTTATATACGCGCATGGACAGTTTGAGGGGGGGGGGGGGGGGGGAGAACCGCGCCTAAGGCTCCGTGTCCTTGAGGGATCACACGGAAGAACATGTCAAAACATCATAAATGGGTGTAACAGTTAAATTGAAATGCTCTTTTCGATTTTCTTCAAGAATTCTCTCTCGGTATACGTTTTTTTTCTGATATCTTATTGCAATTATTAATGATGAACAAACTAATATATGAGGATACTATTTTTTCAGCTCACATCATACTCAGCCGGTGTTTTTTTCTCTGGGAGTTTCCTGTCCTTCCTTGAAGATTTTCTCATTAAATATAATGCTTTCTTACGTTTATCAATAAGACGGATATCTGACTGCACTTAAACCTATTTTCTGTTGTCAGAGTGGTACCTTAACAGAGCCTCGCTTTTCGGAATTAGTCTTTGATTGAAGGTTTGGTGTCTTAGGGAGATCTTAACGACTTATTGGCGTTAGACTGACTCCTTATCCAAAAGGATTTTCAGCTATCCCACCCCCACCCCCTGGTATATATAACATATATATAATATATATGCATATTTCTCTCTCTTTCTCTGTGTGTGTGTGGATGTCATACATGTAATATATGCGTGGATGTATGCGTTTATAAGATATTTATCAAAGAGTAAAGAAGTTTTATATTAACTTTTAACAAACATCTTGAGTCCTTTCTAAAAACAATGAAGAAAATGAATGCCACTTTCAGCGATTAGTGTGCATATAAAGTATTGATTAGGCGTTGGAAGAAAGGAGAAACCTGAGTACACTGAAGAGTTTCTGGCAGTATATTCTCTAACAATTACACCTCATCACTTTCCAGTTAGGGGTCGTTCACAATTGTCAACATTTTCACGAGCGTACAAAACGTACACTTTTTCAGGACCCCCTCCCCCCCTCCCAAAAGTGTACAAAATAAAATGTTGATTTCTCAGAAGAACTATATTCAAGAAATAATACACTCTACAGTACAAATAATATCGCCAAGCAACTAGTTAAAAAAAAGCCAAAGTAAAACGTGGTAAAACTTGAGCAAAAAAGCCAAAATCCACCAAATTCAGAAATAAAAGAAATCGACATTTTTATGTTTTCAAAAAGCGTACACGGACCTCAGACCCCCTCCCCCCTAGCGTACGGTTTGTACGCCCGTGAAAATGTTGACAATTGTGAACGACCCCTTAATACATTACAAGTAAAACAACGAAGGGAAGTACAGGAAAATTTATTCCACATGAATTCCTTACAGTTAATGCATTTTCCTTGATCCGTGACGTCAGATGTAAACAAAGATGGCGAGGTCCCGCTTGCGGTAACAATAAATGTACCATAACTGTTACAGTTACAAGTTACAGTTACAGGCACAAGTAAGGACAGTCGATAAGAAAAGATTTGCAACGCAGTGCAATAACGGTTGTCGCAATAATTCCGGGCATGGAAATGTGCTTAGGGTTCAACTCAACTTTTTTTTTTTTTTTTTTTTTGCCTGTTTGCGTTTCTGTTTATATAGAAATAAGTTCAGTATCGGAATCGCACCCATAGAAAATGCAATGTACCGGACAACTCGTCCACAAACCAGAGTGTTAAACACCTTCAAAGTCTAATCAAGCTGCATTCAGTACCGTGGCCAGAGTCAAATGCGTGGTGGTCACCGTAAGAATTGTTTTCATTGCTAATAAGTAACAGAGGAAAGTAGCAAAAGGACAGAAGGCTTCAGATACACAGTAATCCTCTCAGCTAATCCTAGAGATTTCTGGTAGATTTCTTTTCATTCTTCTCATTCGTAAAAGAATTAGAATGATCATCCTGTCCAAAACTGAGATCACTGCACTGTCTACATTTCTGCACACAAGCACAAGCAACAAAATGATTGTGTGTGCCTTGCATAAGATTGCAATCAAAACCAGATCAAATATATGAAACCATATATTTAATCAAATATATGAAACCATATTTTATACACAAACTCAAACAGCAGACATCAAAAAATGTTAAATGATCTTTCTTGGTTTATGTTTGCGATGACCACTAATTTGTCTGTTTGTTTGATATATGTATCACTTATTCCATGTATGCTTAGAGTGATCACCATTTAGATAAACAGGTAAGTAGAGAGGTCGATGCCCAGAAAAAACAAGGGAAGAGATGTTTAGAATTTTTAAAAATGCTTGTCCATGTCTATGTACGTACATTTGCATGTATCTAAGTGTGGGTGTACGTACATATATGTGTGATTGTGTATTTGTATACGCATTATATAAGTATATATGCATTTATATGCAGTATCGATCTATGACATATACATTATTCTGCTATTATTTTTTTAGAATTTCAGCCTTGTCGATATCATTACCACCAATAATAATAATTTTAGCAGCTATTGAGTTAATGTATGTATTTTTTTCTGAATTATGATATCATAGGAAACAGGAAAACTAATCTTGGTAAATGAAAGTGTATTTTATTTAAGTAGACAAACCTCACATGACATTGGATGAATGAGAACGTAACATGAGAAAATATATAGATGATTTATGACAGAAGGAAGGGCGGAAGTGAGCGTTCAGTCGAGGCGCTTTACTTCTCGTAGGTGACTTCAGCGTTGAAGCCGTCGCCGTTGTCGTAGAACTTGACCACCTGCGGGAGATGCAGTTAATTTTAATCAATTTGCCTGCTCTTTTACACTAGTTGTTTACATACATGTATATCTGGCAAGCGGTGAAAATTAGATAATAGGTTTTGCGACGTAAAATACCGACAGTTTACTATTTATCGCATATTTATTGCGTGAAGTCTTATATAGAGTCATGCTGCTTCTAGAAAGCAAGAACAATAAAAAGTGACCGACAAGACAAAGAGAAACTGACCTGAGTTCGTCCGTCGGGAAGAAGGACGCGGTACTCGCCCTGGGTCGTCTGGCCGTCGCTGTTCTCCACGTGGCTGAAGGCGTTGCCGCTGGCGCCGTCCTCGACGCCCCACGTGAAGTCGTACGGCATTCCTTGCATCGGCTGAGGACGGAACACAAGTTGCACCGATAAGTTACTTTATCAGCTCATTTAACTCATTATCTCAGTTTTCATTTTTAAAGAAACATTGTATAGTTCACTTAGTATGCTACAAGTCATACCGGGCTGACAACTGCAGGGACGAGATTCTGAGGTTCGGCATCCAAGGGCGTCTCGTAGAGGGAAGAGGGCGCCTGAGGGGGCTCGTAGTTGTACTGAGGCGCCGCCGCAATCAGACCTACCATCGCCGCTAGGACAATAACCTAGAAATAGCATCAGTTTCAGTTCGTTCCCCGACAAAGAAACATCGTATTCTTGAAATATAATAAACTAAGTCGCTTCCAGTGCACACATCTGTTTTTGTTTAATGAAAAGTCAAAATCAGACTGCTATGAATTCTTGAAAATTAAGAAAAAAATTCCTCCCAGGCCTTGAATTTACTTTACAAGAGAAACATATTATTTTAAAATAACTCCTTGAAATAAAGTCGATACTCTTTTTTACCGTCCAAAAAAGAACTACCATAGCTGCTTCGTAAAATGTAAGAAAAACCTCTGAAAGATAACTATTGTCACATGTCTCAGTGACGCACCTTGGCTGCCATGTTGTTAACAAGAGGAATGCGATCACACTGATGTCTTTCACGGAGAGAGGAACGCTTATATACACTCATGGACACGGGGGCAGGGGTAACCACCGCGGCCCAAGGCTCTGTGTCCTTGTGGGACCAGGCAGGGAAACATAACAAAACATTATAAATTGGACGTTACGGTAAGGTTACAATGTTCTTTCCAGCTCCCATTATTTTTTTCTCTGGATACCTGGTGTAGGAAATTGGATTACATTTTTTTTTTTTTTTTTTTATTGCAGTCATTAATGAAAACAAATTACAAAGTGACAAGATTCCTTCCACCACACACATCAGTGAGGGTCAACTTCCATGTTATAACCCAGCATTATTTTGGTTGGTTTTCTTGAATCCTGGATCGATGTTTTCAACATATTTTAGATCCTTGCCATTAGGTCCAGAATGACATATACATATACATGTATATAAATATGATATATATATTCATACATTATAAACGTACACACACATACATACATATATATACATATATGTGTGTGTGTTTGTGTAGATATACATTATGTACGTGTGTGTATATTTGTGTTTGTGTGTGTATGTTTATATATGTGTGTATGTAAATATATATGTGTGTGTGTGTTTGTATGTGTGTGTGTGTGTGTGTTTACACACACACACACACACACATATATATATATATATATATATATATATATATATATTACCCAAAAATATTTTCAGCTCCCCCACCCCCATTCCCCGGTATATACAGCACACACACACATATAAGTATGCATCTTTCTCTCTCTCTTTCTCACACTCTCTCTCTCTCTCTCTCTCTCTATATATATATATATGTGTGTGTGTGTGTGTGCATACATAAGGTTTAATTTGATTCCATTTGTTACAATGGATATTCTTGGTGTGACATACTGTCTGTTTCATTTTGCTTCAAAGTTATCCCCTATGTGCAAGGAATGGCCGGGGTTACCACCCACTGGCGGCGAGGGATTTGAACGCATGTCACCAAGATTGCTAGACGAGATCGCTACCGCTACACCACACAGCACACGAAATTGCTGTGACAGTATGCATTTATAAAATATTTATCAAAGAGTAAAGTAGTTTTATATTAACAAATTTTCTTCAACAATGAAGAGAAGTATTGCTTATTTCAGCAGTTTGTGCGCATATACATTATTGATTAGGCGTTGGAAGAAATGAAAAAGTTGAGTACAGTATAGATTTTCTGGAAGTATATTCTGTAAAAATTAAACTTCATCACATTTCAGATAATGCATTTTCCTTGACACGTGACATCAGATGTAAATAAAGATGGCGAGGTCCCTCTGACGGTAACACTAAATGTGCCATAACTGTTATAGTTACCAGGAACAAGTAAGGACAGTTGAGAAGAAAAGAATTGTAATGCAATGCAAAAACAGTTGTCGTAAAAAAATCGAGAACAGAAATGTGCTTAGGGTTCAACTATTGATAAAGAAACGCGTTTTTTTATGCCTGATTGCGTTTCTATTCTTTATATAGAAATAAGTTTAGTATCGGAATCGCACCCGTAGAAAATGCTTTGTAACGGACAACTCGGCCTCAAACCAGAGTGCTAAACACTTTCAGAGTCTAATCAAATACAATCAGTGCCGTGGCCAGAGTCAGATATGTGATGGTCACCATAAGAATTGTTTTCATTGTGATAAGTAACAGAGGTAGGTAGCAAGAGGACAGAAGGCCACAGAGACACTGTAATCCTCCCAGGTAATCCTAGAGATTTCTGGTAGATTTCTTTTCATTCTTCTCATTCGTAAAAGAATTCAAATGATCATCCTGTCCAGAACTGGGAGAGATCACTGCACTGTCTACATTTCTGCACACATACACAAGCAACGTAATAATTGTGTGTGCCTTGCATAAAATTGTAATCAAAACCACATCAAATATATGAAACCATATTTTCGCACAAATTCAAACAGCAGACATCTAAAAATGTTAAATGATCTTTTTTAGTTTATGTTTGCAATGACCACTAATTTGTCTGTTTGTTTGATATATGTATCACCTTATTCCATGTATGCTTAGAGTGGTCACCATTTAGATAAACAGGTAAGTAGAGAGGTCGATGGCCAGAAAAACAAAGGCAGGGATGTTTAAAATTTTTAAAAAATGCTTGTCCATGTCTGTGTACGTACATTTGTATGCATATAAGTGTGGGTATATATACATACATGTGTGATTGTGTATTTGTATACGCATTATATAAGTATATATATGAATTTATATGCAATATCGATCTATGACATACATTCCGCTATTGTTTTGTTTTTTTAGAATATCGGCCTTGTCGATATTATCATTACTACCAATAATGATACTTTTACAACTATTGAGTTAATGTATGTATTTTTTTCTGGATTATGATACCATAGGAAACGGAATACTAATTTCGGTAAATGAAACTGTATTTTATTTAAACCTCACATGACATTGGATGAATGAGAACGTAACATGAGAAAAATACATAGATGATTTATGACAGAAGGAAGGCCAGAAGTGAGCGTTCAGTCGAGGCGCTTTACTTCTCGTAGGTGACCTCAGCGTTGAAGCCGTCGCCGTTGTCGTAGAATTTGACCACCTGCGGGAGATGCAGTGAATTTTATGTAGTCGCTTACTCAATATCACCGATTGATTCCATACATTTGTATCTAGCAGGCGGAGAAAGTAAGAGAGTGTGCTTTGCGACATATTCGTGACATAATGTGATATACTGACCTATCCCAAGAGACTAACCTGAGTGCGGCCGTCGGGAAGAAGGACGCGGTACTCGCCCTGGGTCGTCTGGCCGTCGCTGTTCTCCACGTGGCTGAAGGCGTTGCCGCTGTCGCCGTCCTCGACGCCCCACGTGAAGTCGTACGGCATTCCTTGCATCGGCTGAGGACGGAACACGAGTTGCACCGATAAGTTACTTTGTCAGCTCATTTAATTCATTGTCTCAGTTTTCATCTTTAAAGAAACCTTGTATAGTTCATATAGTATGCCACAAGTCATACCGGGCTGACAACTGCAGGGACGAGGTTCTGAGGTTCGGCATCCAGGGGCGTCTCGTAGAGGGAAGAGGGCGCCTGAGGGGGCTCGTAGTTGTACTGAGGCGCCGCCGCAATCAGGCCCACCATCGCCGCTAGGACAACAATCTGGAAATAGCATCAGTTTCAGTTCATTCCCCGACAAAGAAACATCGTATTCTTGAAATATAATAAACTAAGTCGCTTTCAGTGTACACATGTTTTTGTTTAATGAAAAACCAAAATCAGACTGCTATGTATTCTTGAAGATTAACAGAAAATTTCCTCCCAGGCCTTGAATTTACTTTTCAAGAGTAACATATTATCTTGAAATAACTCCACGTCATTTTATTTTAGAATGAAAAGTTGATAATCATTTTCTACCGTCCAAAAAAGAACTGCTACCACAGCTGCTTCGTAAAATGTAAGAAAAACCTCTGAAAGATAACTATTGTAACATGTCCCAGTGACGCACCTTGGCTGCCATGTTGTTAACAAGAGGAATACGATCACACTGATGTCTTCACAGAGAGAGGAACGCTTATATACGCTCATGGACACGGGGGCGGGGGTAACCACCGCGGCCTAAGGCTCCGTGTCCTTGTGGGACCAGACAGAGGAACATGACAAAACATCATAAATTGGACGTTACGGTAAGGCTGCAATGTTCTTTCCAGCTCCCATTATTTTTTTCCTCTGGATACCTGGTGTAGGAAATTGGATTACATTTTTTTTTCTCTTATTGCAATCATTGATGGAAACTAAATACAAAGTGACAAGGTGTCTACCATCACACACATCAGTGTGGGTTAACTTCCATGTCATACCCTAGCTTTTTTTTTTTTTTTTTTTTTTTTTTTGATTGGTTTTCTTGAATACTGGAACGATGTTTTGATATTCAACATATTTTAGACCCTTGTCATTAGGTTACATACGTATATAAGTATATAAATATGAATATATATATATATTCATATATTATAAACATACACACATACATATATATACATATATATGTGTGTGTGTGTGTATAGAAGTATGTACATTATGTATGTGTGTGTGTGTAAATATATATGTATGTGTGTGTGTATGTATGTATATTTGTATGTGAATGAATATATATATGTGTGTGTGTGTGTGTGTGCATATATATGATATATATGTATATATACATATGTATATGCTATATATAGAGAGATATAGATATAAGTGTATGAATATATATAGTATATATATACATGTGTATGTTTATATATGTATATAGCTATTTATTTCTCTATTTCTTTATTTACGTGAGTAAGTCCGTGTGTTTGTAACCCATTTAACAGTAAGAAAGGCAGTTGTTTTATGACTTTTCACAGTGAATTATTCTTTCGACAAATTATGACACATTAAATTCACAGACATGGCAACGGTCATTGAGTTGTAATTAAATGAAATATTCTCAATTCTGATAATCAGCAGAAGGTAGCGAGAGGATCGGAAGTAGACACGAGGGCCGCTGAGAGTTTCCTAAGTAATTATAGAGACGTCTTGCGTCTATGTTTTTTTTTATTATCCTTTCAAAAAATGGAGGTATTGACTGTGAAAAAAAACGTGGATGAAATCACTTTTGTATTTGTGCTCACATACACAATAAACAATAACTTTCTTTTTTGTCTAGCAACACTCGTCATAGGAAACAAAATAATGCTTGAATACGAAACTGTATTTTATTCAAGCAGGCAAATCTAACATGACAAACCAGATGAATGAGAACGTAACATGAAAATACATATATGATTAATGACAGAAGGAAAGGCGGGAGTGAACGTTCAGTCGAGGGGCTTCACTTCTCGTAGGTGGCCTCAGCGTTGAAGCCGTCGCCGTTGTCGTAGAATTTGACCACCTGCGGGAGATACCGAGATCATTTAATTGCCGACGTCTTTTAATTCATTTGGGTCTAGTAGATAGCGAAAATAGAGATTGGGCTTTACAATGAAAAATATAAACGGTCTACTAAAATTGTTTTCTTCTAACTACGGTGTGCCTGGTTATTACGTTAAGTATTATATAGTCATACCGCTTCTAGAAGAAGCAAGAACAACACTAAAAAAAGGACCGACCTTCTTATTCAAGGCAAAGAGAAACTGACCTAAGTTCGTCCGTCGGGAAGAAGGACGCGGTACTCGCCCTGGGTCGTCTGGCCGTCACTGTTCTCCACAGATGAATATAATTAAAATATATTAATCATATTCATCATTTTTTCATGATTTGTGATTAAAACACCCCTGTTCACACAAACTCAAACAGTAAATATCCAAAAATGTTAAAAGATATGTTCGCAACGATCACTGATTTGTTTGTCCATTTGTTTGATATATGTATCATTTATTCCATCTGTGCATAGAGTAGCCACCATGTTGATAAACCGATAAGTAGAGAGGTCGATGGATTGAAAGAAAGAGGAAGAAATGTGTAACAATATAAGTATATAAATGCTTGTCCATATCTATGTACGTGCGTGGGTGTGGGTGGGTGTACATACATGTGTGTCTGTGTCTACACATTTGCATACGTATTGTATATGCATGTATATGTAACATCAATCTATGACATTTACATTATTCTGCTAATAGCTTTAGAATATCGGCAAGGTCGATATTATCGTTACTATACATAGTAATAAGCTATTGAGTTAAACTATCTATTTTTCTGATTAGCAGTACTTATCACAGGAAACAGAAAACTATTTTTGATAAATGAAATTGTATTTTATTCAAGTAGGAAAACCTCACATTGCATCAGATGAATGAGATCGTAACATGAGAAAAATGCATAGATGATTTATGACAGAAGGAAGGGCGGAAGTGAGCGTTGAGTCGAAGCGCTTTACTTCACGTAGGTGACTTCAGCGTTGAAGCCGTCGCCGTTGTCGTAGAATTTGACTACCTGCGGGAGATAATGATTTTTTATAAATTTGCTTGTTTATTTACATTAATTGTTTCCATACATTTATATCTGAACGAAGGAGAAAATTGAGAAAAGTCTTTGCGAATAAAAATACTGACCGTCTACTAATTTCATTTTCTATTATATGTACAAAAGAAGTGTTATAATGAGTCATGTCACTTCAAGGCAAAGAGAGACTGACTTATCCCAAGAGACTAACCTGAGTGCGGCCGTCGGGAAGAAGAACCCGGTACTCGCCCTGGGTCGTCTGGCCGTCGCTGTTCTCCACGTGGCTGAAGGCGTTGCCGCTGTCGCCGTCCTCGACGCCCCACGTGAAGTCGTACGGCATTCCTTGCATCGGCTGAGGACGGAACACGAGTTACACCGATAAGTTACTATGTCAGCTCATTTCCCTCATTATCTCAGTTTTCATTATTAAAGAAACCTTGTATAGTTCATATAGTATGCTACAAGTCATACCGGGCTGACAACTGCAGGGACGAGGTTCTGAGGTTCGGCATCCAGGGGCGTCTCGTAGAGGGAAGAGGGCGCCTGAGGGGGCTCGTAGTTGTACTGGGGCGCCGCCGCAATCAGACCCACCATCGCCGCTAGGACAACAATCTGGAAATAACATTAAATTCCAATTCATTCCCATACAGAGAAATGTCTGTTTTCATGCTTCCAATTTACGTATATAATTTTTCTTTTTCTTTATTTCCTTCGTGAAAAGTAACAGGTAAACGAAATTGTCCCAGTAACGCACTTTGGCTGCCATGTTGTTAACAAGAGAAATGCGATCACACTGATGTCTTCTCTGGGAGAGGAACGCTTATATACGCGCATGGACATGGGAGGGGGGTAACCACCGCGGCCTTAGGCTCCGTGTCCTTGTGGGGTCATATGGAGGAACATGTCAAAATATCATAAATTGGGGGTTACGGTAAATTTGCAATGTTCTTTCCGATTTCCTTGAAGAATTCTCTCTCGGTGTACGAAATTACTCCTACTGCAATTATTACTGATGAAAACTAATATGTGAGGAAACTATTTTTCTGGTGTTCTTATGACGCCTTTTCGGAGCTGTTCACGAAGTTTTTGGAAATGGTTTCACCTCATCTACCAGCTTATTCCAGGACTAATATCCGATTGTCCTGGTTCTTAAGAACATATCTGGGAGTTTCCTGTCCTTCCTTGAAGTTGTTCTCATTTAATATATTGGGTTTTTATTCTGTTTATCAATGAGACAGATATCTTACTGCACTTCAACCTATTTTCTGTTGTCAGTTTGGTATCTTGACATATCCCAGAGCCTCGTTTTTCTGGGTTGGTGTTTTTGACTCTTTGATTGAAGGGTGATGTCTTGGGGAGTTATTAAAGATTTCTGGGGACCTTTTCATTGGAGTTACGCTGAATCCCTATCCATAATGATTTTGGGCTTACCCACCACCACACCCTGGCATATACAATACACACACATAAGTATGTATATCTTTATCTCTCTCTCTATTCATCTCTATATGTGTGTAGGTATGTGTGCGTGTGTGTATACATATATGTATGCGTGTATGTCTTAATAAGATATTTATCAATTAGTGAAGTATTTTCATATTAACTTTAAGCAAACAAATCGAGTTCTTTCTGTAAACTATGAAGAAAATGAATGTCAATTTTAGTGGTTAGTTTCCATATAAAGTATTGCTTAGGCGTTGGAAGAAATGAGAAAGTTGAGTACAGTAAAGATTTTCCGGCAGTATATTCTGTAAGAATTACACTTCATCACACATTTCAGTTAATGCATTTTCCTTGACCCGTGACGTCATCTGTAAACAAAGATAGCGAGGTCCCGTCGATGGTAAAACTGTGTCATGACTATTATACTTACCAGGAACAAGTAAAGACAGTTGATAAGAAAATATTTGCAACGTAATGCAATAATGGCTGTCGCAATAGTTCAGGAAATAGAAATGTGCTTAGGGTTCATCCTGTTTTTGTCTGTTTGCGTTTCTGTTCTTTATACAGAAATAAGTTTAGTATCAGAATTGCACCCATAGAAAATGCTTTGTAACGGATACCTCGGACACAAAACAGACAGTGAAAAACACTTTTAAAGTCTGAATAAATTGTATTCAGTGCAACGGTCACTGTAAGAATTGTTTTCGTTACTGACAGGCAGCAGAGGTAGGCAAGCGAATGGACAGAAGGCTTCAGAGTCATTATGGATTTATTTTTCACTTGTTCACATTCTCAGAAGAATTAAAATTATCATACTGCGGAAAAAATAGGAGAGATCTCTCTGTTGTCTACATTTCTGTGCACATGCAGCAGTATGCCTTGCTGGAAATAATAATCAAAACCAGATAAAAGATATGACACACATTCATCCAAAACTTTCTTTATCTGTGATTTAAACATTTCGACCTCACGCAGACTTGAATAATGGACATCTAAATATGGTTTGTGTTTGCAATGACCACTGATTTGTTTGTCTATTTGCCTTATATATGCATCACCTTATTGCATTTATGGACAGATATATAAGTAGCGAGGTCGATGGGTAGAAAGAGAAAGGAAGAGATGTGTATCATGTGTGTGTCTGTCTAAAGATGTACTGTATGTATCAACGTGTCGGTGTAGGAGTGTGTACATATATGCCTGTGTGTTTGTGTGCACTTGTGTACGTGTCTTATATATGTATATGTACAGAAATAGATAGATAAACAGATATATATATATCACGTGCACTACTCTGCTTCTATTTTTTTAGAATATCGCAAATATCGATGTTATCGTTAAATTGTAATCATCTTGTTGAATTATATTATGTATTTTTTCTGATTAACAACATCCATCGCAGGAAACATAAAACTAATTCTGGCAAATGAAACTGTATTTTATTCAAAAAGAGAAACCTCACATGACATTAGATGAATGAGAAGGCAACATGAGAAAAATACATAGATGATTGATGACAGAAGGAAGGCCGGAAGTGAGCGTTCAGTCGAGGCGCTTTACTTCTCGTAGGTGACCTCAGCGTTGAAGCCGTCGCCGTTGTCGTAGAATTTGACCACCTGCGGGAGATGAAGACTTTTTAATTGTCAACGTATGTTTCAATTAAAAAAATAGAGACTGGGCTTTACAATGAAAAATACCAACAGTCAACTAAAATTGTTCTCTTCTAACTACGAAATGCCGGGTTATTACATTAAGTATTGTTCTGAGACATGTCGCTTCTAGAAGAAACAAGAACAACAGTAAAAAATGCCCGAGCTCCTGATGCAAGGCAAAGAGAAACTGACCTGAGTTCGTCCGTCGGGAAGAAGGACGCGGTACTCGCCCTGGGTCGTCTGGCCGTCGCTGTTCTCCACGTGGCTGAAGGCGTTGCCGCTGTCGCCGTCCTCGACGCCCCACGTGAAGTCGTACGGCATTCCTTGCATCGGCTGAGGACGGAACACGAGTTACACCAATAAGTTACTATGTCAGCTCATATAACTCATTATATCATTATTTTTTATAGAAACCTTTGTATAGTTCACTTAGTATGCCACAAGTCATACCGGGCTGACAACTGCAGGGACGAGGTTCTGAGGTTCGGCGACCAGGGGCGTCTCGTAGAGGGAAGAGGGTGCTTGAGGGGGCTCGTAGTTGTACTGGGGCGCCCCCACAATCAGACCCACCATCGCCACTAGGACAACAATCTGGAAATAGCATAGCTTTCAATTCATTCCCTGACAGAAAAACACTGTATTCTTGAAATATAAATAAATTCACTTCCTATATGTATATATGAATATCTGTTTAATAAAAAGTCAAATTCATAAATGGATTCTCTTTTAACTGTGGAAAAGAATTGCTATCATTTCTCCCCCGTGAAAAGAAACGGAGTTTCCGCAATAAGTCCCAGTAACGCACCTTGGCTGCCATGTTGTTAACAAGAGGAATGCGATCACACTGATGTCTGCACGGAGAGAGGAACGCTTATATACGCGCATGGACACGGGGGCGGGGGTAACCACCGCGGCCTAAGGATTCGTGTCCTTGAGGGATCACACGGAGGAACATGTCAAAACATCATAAACTGGCCGTTACGGTATAATTGCACTGCTTTTTCCAGCTCTCCTGAAGAATTTTCCCTGGTTGTCTGTTTGGTGTAAGAAATTAACTCACTATTTTATTGCAATCATCAATGAAGAAAACTGAATGCAAACTGGCAATATTCTCTGAATAACTCGGGTAATGTGAAGCTCAAGAGTCAAGAAAAAGAATCACAGTACTCGCGAATTTCCACCAACCTTTATATTTTGTCTGTTTATGAAAATATATACATGTGCACATACATGGTATATTACTGTGGACAGGTATGTGTAGTTCTATCTATCTATCTGTTTATCTATTTCTATTCCTTGGCTGTCTTTATATGTCGGATGTTTTTTTTTTCGCATAGTTTTGACCAGACTGTTTTTCCTGTGCGTGTGTGTGTGTGTGTCTGCATGTATGTATTTGCATATATAGATATAGGCCTATGCATATATATATATATATATATATATATATAGACACACACGCACGCACACACAAACACACACATATATATATGTATATGTATATATATTTATTTATTTATTATTTTATTTTATTATTCTATTTATTCATTATATTGTACATATGATTATATGCATATATATACATATACATTCATACATATGTACATATATGTATATATATATATATTATATGTATACATACATGTGTGTATGTATATACTGTATATAGATAGATAGATGGATATAGATAGATAAATATGCTTTTTCATTCCACCGCAGAATATAGGCCTCTCTCAATTCACTATTGAGAGGTTATATGGCAGTGTCACCCTTGCCTGATTGGATGCCCTTCCTAATCGATCGTGGTTCGGCGTGGTTCACACTTGTGCCACGGCGGTGACTTCCCCTACGACACCTGCGTCTGACTTCTCATGACGATAAGTTTTCTCGGGCTCGAACTCGAGGCAGCAGTCAGAGCGCAGGCCCAAAAATAAATAAATTTGTATGTATGTATATATACATACATATATGTATATGTATATATATATATGTATATATATACATACATACTTGTTTATATGTATGTGTGAATGTGTGTGTGTCTAGGTGCGTGCATGTATATGTATATGTGAGTGTGTGAGTTTGTGTGTGTGTGTGCGTGTGTGTGTGTGTGTGTGCGTGTGTGTATGTGTGTAACTGTACTTGCGTTGGCCTATATATATATATATATGTATATATATATACATATATATACATATATATTTATAATACACACACACACACAACATACATATATTATATATATATTATATATATATATATAGATAATATATATATATATACATATATATATATATATGTATATATATATACACATATAGGTGTGTGTGTATATATATACATGTATATATGTATATTTGTTTATTCATATGCGTATATATATAAATAGGGTTGTGGTGTGTCAATTCACTATTGAGAGGTTATATGGCAGTGTCACCCTTGCCTGATTGGATGCCCTTCCTAATCAATCGTGGTTCGGCGTGGTTCACACTTGTGCCACGGCGGTGACTTCCCCTACGACACCTGCGTCTGACTTCTCATGACGATAAGTTTTCTCGGGCTCGAACTCGAGGCAGCAGTCAGAGCGCAGGCCCAAAAATAAATACATTTGTATGTATGTATATATACATACATATATGTATATGTATATATATATACACATACATACTTGTTTATATGTATGTGTGAATGTGTGTGTGTGTAGGTGCGTGCATGTATATGTATATGTGAGTGTGTGAGTTTGTGTGTGTGTGTGCGTGTGTGTGTGTGTGTGTGCGTGTGTGTGTGTGTGTAACTGTACTTGCGTTGGCCTATATATATATATATATATATATATATATATATATATTTATAATACACACACACACACACATACATATATATATATATATATATAATAATATATATATATATTTATATAGATGTATATAATTTCCATATGCGACTCTTTTCCAATTTAGGTTTCTATTTTTGATATGAAAATCCTTTTAGCATCAGGATCACAGTAGAAAAGCAGAAAATGCGTAACGAAGGGCCCCTTAGACAAACCAAAACAGTGGCAATGTACATGTTTGGAAAGACTGAACAAAAAAAAAAAAACTCAGCAGCCATGTGGTTGTCATTAAAATAAAAATTTCGCCGTCCTGATATTCAGCAGAAGGTAGCGAGAGGTAGACATGAGTGGTGCTTTGAGCTTCCCAGGTAATCAGAGGGATGTCTTGTGTGTGTTTATAATTATCATTACAATTATTAATACTTACTGTCATGTCTGAAATCACTCCATTGTGCATTTGTCAAGATCATGGGTGTTTTTTGCGTGTGTATTATATGGGATTGTAATCAAAGCAAGAATAAGGATTATATTAGATCAGTTCCCTTCCTCTTTCTTTTTTATTTATGTCAACATCCTGGTTCACGCAAACTCAGGTAGGAAAATGCAACAAAGTTTAGATTATTTTTTCTTGATTTGTGTTTTCAATGACCACTGAATTGTCTGTTTCTTTGTTTGATGTATCATTTATACTCTAGAGAGGGTGATCGCCATGCAGATAGACACATCAATAGACAGGTAGATGGAGAGAAAGTGAGAGGAAGAGAGATATGCATAATTATGCGTGTGTATTAATGTCACTTTACGACAAATATGTAATTATATTTCTGTTTTAACGAATATCGGCAATATCGATACTCTCGTTACTGCTAAAAGTAATACGTTTAACAGCTAATGAATTATGGAATTTTCTTTTCTCCTTAATAATATTCATCACGGGAAACAAGAAAAAAAATTGTATTTAAAACTGCATTTCATTCAAGGAGAGAACCTCGCATGACAACAGATGAATGGGAACAGAACATGAGAAATGATACAAATGATTTATGACAAAAAGGAGGACGTGAGTGAACGTTCAGTCGAGGGGCTTCACTTCTCGTAGGTGACCTCAGCGTTGAAGCCGTCGCCGTTGTCGTAGAATTTGACCACCTGCGGGAGATTTACAGAATTTTAATGATTGTCTACCAATCCTGTGATACAACTAGAAGTGCTTGAGAAACCGATCTGTCACTTTTGCAACAAATTAGAGCAGCAAATCAATATGAAACACTTAAAGTTTTGGTTTGATTAAATACCAGAGACCGAGAAAAACTGACCTGAGTTCGTCCGTCGGGAAGAAGGACGCGGTACTCGCCCTGGGTCGTCTGGCCGTCGCTGTTCTCCACGTGGCTGAAGGCGTTGCCGCTGTCGCCGTCCTCGACGCCCCACGTGAAGTCGTACGGCATTCCTTGCATCGGCTGAGGACGGAACACGAGTTGCACCGATAAGTTACTTTGTCGGCTCATTTAATTAATTATCTGCTTTCATTTTTAAACAACCTTGTGTATTTCACATAGTATGCCACAAGTCATACCGGGCTGACAACTGCAGGGACGAGGTTCTGAGGTTCGGCATCCAGGGGCGTCTCGTAGAGGGAAGAGGGCGCCTGAGGGGGCTCGTAGTTGTACTGGGGCGCCGCCACAATCAGACCCACCATCGCCGCTAGGACCACAATCTGGAAATGATATAGGCTTTGAATTTACCTTTCAAGAGAAACACATATCATCTTGAAATAACTCCCCATGTCATTTTATCTTAGAATGAAGAGTCGGTAATCTTTTTTACTGTCCAAAAAAGGACTGCTACCATAGCTGCTTCGTTAAATGTAAGAGAAACCTCTGAAAGATAACTATTGTATCATGTCC